ATTAAGCCAGCTGAAGGCAAAACCTATGCAGAGGTGCTGGGAACGATACGCGGTAAGCTCCAACCCGAGAAGACGGAGACCGTAATTCGATCTGTTCGGAAAACCCGCGAAGGCGGCGTGCTCATCGAAATGGAGCGCTGTGGCAACCACACAGCATTTAAGGAAAATGTGTGCACTGCCATTGGCCAGCTTGGAGACGCCCGTATTCTCACTAGACGTTTACGTCTAGAAGTTCTGGGCATGGACTGCCTAACCACGGCCCCAGAAGCGGAGAACGCTATACGCGGGGAGTTAGGAGACAAGATGAATGGCCAACTTCGCGTCTCTCTCCTCGCTGTAAACTCGCGAGAACAAAGAATGGCCGTGGTCGAAATCGACGAACTGCCATGCCGGACTCTAATTGAAAAGGGGAAGCTGCGAGTAGGTTGGATTATCTGCCGCGTCCGAGAGCGCGCGGATGTCCAAAGGTGTTTCCGCTGTCTGGGGTATGGCCACAAAAAGGCGGCATGCAAAGGCCCAGACAGAAGCAGTTCATGCTGGAAATGTGGTCAGCAGGGTAAACAAACCCCACGTAAAGAAAACCCAAGCGCAAATCACTCTGGTAAGCCGCTACCTGTCTCCAAACGACACAGTCCTTGTCTTCAGGGAAAAGCTCGAAGACCTTGAAGACGAATTGCGCGATATAACCGGCCACATAATTGTTGCTGGAGATTTCAAAGCAAGAGGCGTGGAATGGGGTATGCCCCAAACAAACACCAGGGGAAGGCTGGTCCTTGAAATGGCAGCCAGGATTGGCCTGACCATCCTCAACACCGGAACGACCCCTACATATCGAAGGCCGGGTGCTGGACACTCTATCCCTGACATAGCCCTGGTCTCAGAAAGCCTTCTTCGTAGGGCCGACGGATGGAGAGTGATGCAAGACCTGAGTGGTAGCGACCACAACTACATCACCTTCCAAGTCACTGACACAACGCGAGGGCAAACACGTAGTATCCCTCGCAGGAAACCAGGATGGAACCCGTCTAGGGTCGATGTTCGCAAGTTCGATACATCACTCCTAGCAGATCCCCAAGGTATTTCACCCACAACGGGAGAGATCCACAACAGGGAGTCTTGTACTAAGCTGGTCGAAGAAACCATGCGCTGCATTCACCGGGCATGCAAAGCCTCAATGCCACCGAGGAGGGCATGGTCAGGTAAAAAGCAGGTATACTGGTGGAATGACCGAATTGCAGAGCTGCGAAGGGCCTGCCATAGAATGCGGAGACTCGCAACGCGCGCTCGTGGTATACCTGAGGCGCTGACCAGAGCAGCAGCCTACAAAAGCGCTAAGAAAGCACTTGGGGCCGAGATACAGAAGAGTAAACGGAACTGCTGGAAAGCGCTATGTGACGAAGTGGATCGCGATCCCTGGGGCCAGGGATACAAAATAGTGATGAAAAAGTTCCATACATCATCNGCCGGAGAGCGCCTTCCTTGTCGCCTTCGCGGACGACGTGGCCGCCGTCATAACAGCAAGATACGTCCAGCCAGCACAGCTCAAGCTAAACCAGGTCATGCGCAACGTCAGTGGATGGATGAGCGATCACGGTCTGCAATTGGCTACAGCAAGGGATTTCATGTCGATCAGTATATCAACGGAGCCCGTTTGTTTCATCATACATATATATCCATACAAACATATGTACGAATGGATGCAGGTACACGAAGCACGCTTGCTTCCTTCATATATTGCTTGGTAGCGGCAGAGGTGAAATGCGAAATGAGTTCGTACATACACTTGTGATCAGCTAATTATTAAGCCAGCAACATTTTGATCAACTTTGGCTATTTTTCTTTTGTTTATTTAATGTTTATTATTTTCCCATAAAAGTCCAGCTCATTACATAACAAACACCATATAAATCTAGATTTCAAACTTTGTGCAAAAAGTGGGAAATAAACAACTGGGTATTATTATTGGAAATCTTCTGCACATAAACAGGGTTTTCTGGTAGAAAATATTGATTTTTAACTATTCTATACCATTTCTACGAAAATTTGTTTTTTCTCTATATAAAATATATGGAAAACTTTGGGCGCTTTGAGCGACCTCTAAATATTTTTTGATTTCAAAATAAAAAATAAGGGTATATTTTTTTGAGTATAGAACAATACTAGGGGGTGAGAGCATAGAAATTCCGACTTTACTTTTTCACATGCATTTTTGGACAGCCCCAAATGAAGTGGCAAGACTGATAGAGATTTCTGTCACTGGCTACCTACAAGTTTCTATCAAATTCTAAAGGGCAGTGTGAAAAATATGATGTAAACATTTGTGTACATGTGATCTTCCGTCTTCCTCCAACTTATGGCCTTATTTAATGGTCTCTTTTTAACCAACGTAAAATTTGCAAATGTGTTAGAAAGATAAATGAGAATGTGTTAGTTTCCATCACACAATTCTTGTAGGGTAGGTACTCGTATGCATGCGCGTTGAAGATGTATGTGCTATCGCTTTGTATAGCCGTCATACGTCGCTTTCTTTCACCATTGAGAAAAATTACAAATAAATTTTCGTTTAGAATTTTCGCCATGAAAATGGATCGGATCATCATAGTTTTCGAATTATTTTTCTTCTTTTCTGTCTGCTTCCCTGCTAGTCGAAAATTAGCTTGTTTTGCGCCGCGCCTGGGACATTTGACATGAATCGCCCCATATGCGAAAAAACACCACTGTATGAATACCATATTGAAAAACTTTGCAGGATGTAAAAGGATGTAAAGTGCCGCTTGACTTTTAATGTTAAAATTAAAATATATATAAGGGATGCATTTAAGTATATAAATTTAAAAAACATTAACAAAATATTTTTAAATAATCTATTTACAAAAAATATGCCGAAAATATGCTTGATAGTTAAAACATGCGCTATACCTTTAAATATGCTATCATATTCAAAAATGGCAAAAGATGCTTTTTAGGTAAATGCATATTTTTATCTTCTCTAGAAATCACTATTAAGAAGTACACAAACGCAAGTTTAAAGGAAAATTTCGTAAAAATAGGCCGCTGTGAAAGATCAGGTTTTTGGTATTCTCGGCATGAAGGCATCCATAAAAACTTGGTTAAAATTAGCTGTAAGTTATTTGTGTGTTGGTTTTAACCGGCTACTTTGATCATATCACTTTTTTCATTCTAGGGCACTAAAAGATACAAGCTATGACATAAAAAAGATAACTTTGGAAAAGCTGTTTGATTTGACTGAAGTTAAATCAATGGGTTTTTTCCTAAACCCATATTTTCCTTAGCTATTATATATACATACATTAGACCAAAGTAACGGATTATATCGGATATGTATTTGTAACGGTTTTCGAAATACCATGTATAGTTTAAAACTTTCTGTAAAAAATTGTGTGTTACCTTGCTCATATTTATGTATTTGTTTCGCATTCCATTTTTCATATACATAAATATCGAGATAGTTTCGTTCATAAACGAATAGACCGGTTGCTGTAAACTTTTCATCGGCAATATTTATGCGTACTACAGTTTCAGATCCAACTGCGTCTTTGCTCACACAGGCTAGAAAGTGGCGGCATATTAACTCGTATATCCGTGCATCGTTCCCTTGTAGATCTGCAAAGAAAGAAAGATAATAATTGTTTATGTAGGCATCAGGGATGGACAAGTATGCACAATTGTGCTTTTTTGGAGTTTTTATTCCACCCGGTACTTTATGCAAGATCGGTTGATTTTTTTACTAGATTATATAAAAACTACATTCTTATGGACAGTTACATATCGTCGTTATGAATTAAAAGTTCCCAATTTACATATCATATCATAAGTCATATGTATACAGGGATACTCTACGAACGATTAAACTCGCGACAATTACTAGAACACCGCACTCTCTTCGCAGTCTCAAACAATGCATATCTAAAGCTCTTAAACTAACATCATATTCATTTTCTTTCACTAGGCCAGTTAAAGTCGGTTAAAATGTTTTATGCTACTAGGACGCAAAGTTAGTTACTGCAGAAACCATATTGCGTTCCATGATAAAAAAATTGGAAAGACAAAATACCACATGAAGCAAATATGAAGTAACATCTTTTACCCGCCGGATGAAATACGCCGACTATCAAAAATTTCCACTAGCTTAACGTGGAAAATCCTCCTAAATATCCAGAATACCCTATGTTTTTGACGACGATGATTAAGACAACGCACAGTGCCGCCTAAGTGGGCAAAAATCGAAGAATTCGTTACCTGCAATGTGAACTTGCTTGGTATTTTTGTAAAGATAATTTATTCACTAAAAAGAATTAAACAGACATTCCCCTAAAAAATTAATTATATGCCGCCAGGAAGCCACAAAAGTCGACAAATTTTATTTTAAGAATTTTAATAAGAGCATAGCCATGCGTAAGCTCTTCCCAGAAAAACATGTCAAAAATATATTCCTTGAAATAAAATGTTGGTTTGACGTTTTTTGTTTCCATATAGATAGTGGAGAATTACAGGAATTAAAAGTTTGGAATAAAATTAAACACAGTGTGTCCCTGCGGTGTTCCAAACAAAACATTTTTTTTAAACAAAATTTCTAAACATGCTAAATTTTAATGGAATGAATAAAAAATATATGTAAAAATAGGTCATTTTTTATTATTTTATTTAGGGGTACGGGCTTTTAGCTTTCAAAAGAAGAAATAAAAACCTGCTCATTTTTTGCACTTTCTAAAGTAATGCGTTTCTCGCTAATGCATAAAATATTTTTTTCATTTTTTGTCAGTGCCTTGAGATCTGCACGATTCGTTCCATTTTCAAAAATGATGTGTCAGATTAAAAAGCTTGACCTGTGGACAATAGAAGGTTTATTTTTTTTAAAGAGTTGCCACCTGTTAAAAAATTAGATTACATTTTTTTATAAGTTAAATGAATTATTAAGAGATGAGTATTAATCGAAATGTGTATTACCTACATGTAGAGAGTTGCCACCTGTTTAAAAAATCGAATTCCTTTTGAATTAAAGGAATTAGGTAATTGAAGTAGATAGGTGTCACCATGAGGGATTCAGACGAAAGATGTTTAAAAATATTACGAATAGGGTTGCCCCCTGTTTGTAAAGTCGAATTTAGTTAAACTAAAATAATAATTACGTCAAACCATAGGACTACGCCATCGTATTTGTTCTTTTATTACAAATATATACAATGTGAATCAGTGATTTGTTCTGATTACATTCCTATTAAATTACTGCACTCTTAAATTAACTCAGGAATGTTTTTACTCTCCACTTATTTCTTGCTAAATATGTCAAATTTTTTCATTTGTCTGATACTCATATTTATATACATATTTCAGTTACCTTATTCCCTTAATTAAATTGAATTGGATTTTTTAAACATGCGGCGCCCCTTCTACGTATCATTTAGAGGTAACGTACTTTCAAAACTAGTTCAATTGATACCCATATTGCAATATCTAATTCATTTAACTTATTAAATAGTTTTAATAAAATTTGTAACAGGTGGCAACCTTTTTCAAAAAAAAAAAAATTTATTGCACGTCTACAGGTCAAGCACTGTCATTTGACACCACCTGAAAATAGAACGAACTATATGTGCATACCTATGTAAAAGCCACAAGAACCCAAATTTTCAAATTCAAATGCATTTACTGTGAAAGTATGAAAGTTATCCAAAAACCAATTGCATTTTTGAATTTAGCGTCCTCAACTTTACTAAGAAGCGAATTTTCATTTATATCCGTCCATAATTATATTTTTGCTCACATTTTATATGGAAGGGAAGCACTGTGCAACGTGCCTTTATCCCATCTGTCAACAAGTAGTTAACCCTCGCTTACAGTATAACTACTGTGACCATATTTATGAGTGCTGAATGCGGGACAAAAAATAATTTTGATGTGGTTAAATTCGATTTGAGATGGTTAACTTTTTGGTGGGGACATGTTAGAATATTCAAAGTTATTGTTATTAAACTGAAAGTTATTGACTCGGAAAACGGACTCTTTTTAAATAATTTAAGCTCCATCAAATTATCGCAACTTGTACGTAACGACCCGGGGCGATATGGCCATAAAACGATTGATCTTTTTTCTTGTATTAATTTCTTATGTAAAACCCTTAAGAAAAGCCGAGAGTATTTTATTTGAATTGAAAATTCAGTACAAATCAGTACAAATTTTTAAAAATCAGGACATTAGCGTACTTTTTCAAGAAATGAATAAAATCAGTACAAGAGTTGAAAAATCAGTACTGTACTGATAAAATCAGTACGTCTGGCGACCGTAAATATATTTACGGCAATTCCTACTATTTTCTCTAGGCTTGCTGCAGCTATTAAAGGGAATCGGATAACGTAGCACTTTTCCTGTTGTTTTATAAAAATCTGGAAAAAAGTAAACTTCGCAAAGTGTGTTTTTGGTCTATTTCGCATATATTTTTCAGTAGTCAAAATTATGCAAAAACAAAGATCCTCCGATTCCAATTAGACTATACTCTGGATGTAGATATAAGCTCTGTTATATTATTATTAATAAATCCAATCAAGTTTAAAGTATTCATATTTTAAAAAATATTATTATTGCTTTTGCAAATGCCAACAGAGTAAGACGCGTTTTTGTAGTGCCAATAAGTTTTTGCGTTTTTCCTCGTAATTATAACGAAATTTGCCTATATTGCTGCTCTACCGACGTGCGTGCGTGCTTCTGTGGCTGATATCGACACATACACTGGTTCACTTGTTTTTTATCAGCGTTTTATCTACTTTGAATCAGCGTAATGGGATCAACAAGAAAAAATCCAACGAGAAAGCCTACATCTCCCCCTAAAACTCCCCTCACACCGGCAACAACTGCGTTCGATAGGATGGAGAAGAAATTGGAAGAGCAGAGAGATGCTATAATTGCACAGTTGACTGCGGTTCTGACAAAATCAGAGGAGAGGGCGATGCAGAAGATGGCTGCTGAAACGGCAAATTTGAAGTTGTCCATTACAGCCATCGCGAAGAGTCACTGGGGTTGAGAATGCATGCGCTGATGTTCTCATTTCACGCTCCGAGCTTATTGTTACCAAGGCTCAGCTCACTGCTCTTGAAAGCAGTGCAGTCGCTACGGATATTATTATTAACGGGATCCCCCAAGCAGCTGGTGAGTGTTTACCTGAATTATTTGCAAAGGTTTGTAGTGTAGCTCAGCACAAACCTCCACCTTTACGTGACGTTTTTCGTCTGCGAAGCGTGAAAGGCAATGGACAAAATAGCAGCAGCGCTTGTCCTGTTGTTGTGAAGCTTTTCTCTGCAAATGACCGCAATCGACTCTTACGATCTGTCTCTTTGTTTTGCAAAAATAAAAAGAGATCGCTTGCTCTTTCTGATATTGAGCTGCCGGGTTACGCCAATATTTATTTGCATGAGACTCTCTCAAAAACTCAACGAGAAATAATGACATATACATCAGAGTTAAGGCGAAGTAAACGATTGGCATCGGCGTTTTCCATCCGTGGGAGAATATTTGTGCGGCTAAAGCCAGGCGAAGAGCCCAGATTAGTGAGCAGCAGAGCCGAGGTTAACGCTCTTATCGGCACTAGAATATAAGAACAATTACACTTAAGTATGTATTTTATGCATGTCCAAATGTTTGTTATAATTTATGCCAGAATAGAAAATAAGTTACATAAATGTTTTATCTTTTTCTCTCTTTGCCGTATTCTCTCTATTTGTTATTTGTTTACATTTTTACTTATGTATCTCAGATTATTTCTATTGCTTGTTTACCTTTCTCAACTGTTCGTATATTACCCTCCTGTTTCGTTTAATGTACTTAATTGCAATCACTTGTGCTTTTGCTGTGTTGTATATTTCTTGTGCTTGATGCTATTTGTAGTTAACCCCGTTCTGTCTCAGTGTGTCCCATTTGAATCCCACTAGGAAATCAGCCTCCAGCATTAATTATAACCACAAAATTTTAATAGATATTTTATGCCAACAGTCAAATGGCCTTAGCGTGGTGCATTTTAATGCTCGAAGTCTTAATGGTGATAAATTGGACTATGTTAGACATATTTTTGGAGAATCGGGGGTTGATGTCATCTGTGTTTCAGAAACGTGGTTTAATCCAAACTTTACTGACTTTTATTATGGTATCCCACATTTTAATGTTATACGCCACGACAGATCAACCAAAAACGGAGGGGGTGTTGCAATTTTTTGCAAATCCACCCTAAAAATTAAACCTCTAACTGTATCAAATGATTCTGATACGGAATTCATCAATGCGGAAATCTCAGATAATGTCACAAAAATACTAGTGTCCTGTGTATATAATCCTAATAGGTGTTGCATGTTAGACTCGTTTTTTGTTGAGCTATCTATGTTTTTGATTGAGTATGAGCGTTATGTTATATGTGGTGACTTTAATGTAAACCTTCTTTTAGGAGATTGCTATGCCGTTAAACTACTTGACCATGTATTTGCTGCAGGTCTTGCTGTGGTTAACAGATTAGTACCAACAAGATACGCCAACAACTCAAATCCTAGCCTGCTGGACCTTGTTATTGTCTCTAATATAGACCATATTCTAAAATTTGACCAAATGTTTTTTATTTCGGA